CCCCAGCTACATCCCCAGCCGCCCTTTCTTTATTAATTCTAATGGGAATTGCTTCTGAAATCCTTCCCTACTTCACTTTCACTAGTCCTAAGAATTTATTGAGCCCTTACTATGCTTTAGACATTGCCTTGAGCTCTGTACCTGCATCCTTACTTCATGGTCATGACAACTCTCACATTCAGACACTGTCACACTATGTGAGTGAGGAAACTGAGCCATAGCAGGATAACATGGGTTGCAGTAGACACGCACTGCTCACCACCTCCAGGGCTGGACTCCCGCAGCTGATGCCTGGAACCCCCAGGTTATTCCAACACCAAGCAAGGTCTGGCTGTACAGACGGACAGACTATCTGTCTGACAGGCAGGAGAAAAGATGAACAAACTAAGCAGAGGTGGAAATCAGGAGCCAGGCACACAGGTGCCAGCCTGCTCAGTGCTGATGTTCTGAACAAAGATGCCTAAAGGGTTTCAGATTCTATGTTTTCACCAATGAAATGACAGTGGTATTATACAACCCGCTTTCATAGTCCACTGCATTCTCACCTGTTCTGCAGCAGCTAAATCACCCAGCCCTCGCAGCACTCTACAATGACACATCTGTCCCCTAGTCCTTCAGTAATTTTCACTTTTTTTCCCCATAAATAAGACAGCCTGGGAAGCTTGCCAGACTCCACAGTCCTTCAGAGTACACCAAATTGAAATTCTACAGAGTCTGTGTGAACTCTGAAAGAGGAAAGGATTTGGAATCAATCTTTGTAAACAAGTTTCTAGGTGTAAAAGTTGGGACAAAAGATAGGAAGGAAAAAATCAATAGATCTAAGAAATATGTCTGTATTGAATCACCACACCTGATTTACTGAGATTCTGTGAAACAATACCAGAATATATATTGGCTTTATCAGAGAACAAGTCATTTCTGAATTATTTAGCAAATAAAAAAGATTTAGCAAATCAGTAAAAGCCAAATCTATCAACACTATTCAATATTAAAGACCCTTTAGGTAATTCAAAGAACTTCAAATTTGGTAATTTTTCAAAGTCACCTATAGGGTAACCTCTGTGACTACAAGTTACCAACGAGCTATAGTTATGAATATCCTTGAAACTGTGTAATAACATCAGGATCAGGCTTATGCATTATTAGTTTATGGAAGGAGTGTATTATGTATTATGTATCTGTAGGAATAATGCATTAGCTGAACAAACAAGCCCTGGAATAAGAAGGGCTTAGACTCAAATCTTGGTTCCTTCATTTACTTCATTATCTTTGGGCAAATAACCTTTTTGAGCCTCTGTTTCCTCATTTGTAAACTGGGAATAGCAAAAAGTAAGTGTGAAGTTTAAAGGCAGTGCTACATGCAAAACACTCCCCAGAACGACGGCCATTTTGTAAGCATTCAGTGAATGTTAACTGTTATTATGACATTTTGATCTGCAAATATAGACCACAGCTAAACTTGTGACTATCCAAAGCTATCTAATAAACCAAAAATGACTAATGGGCTTCAGAAATAGTTTGAGTTTTATTTCAGATTAAGCTATATGATCAGAATTGCTACAACTTTAAACTATGTGAGGCCAGCTGTCCTCCTATACACGTCAATCCATTTATGCGTCTAGGTACCTGGGCGTTATTCATACAGAACTTTTGCTGTACCTGTTACTACTCAGTATTCATCCAGACCAGTATTTTCAACCTCTGCACTAATGACATTTAGGGCTGGATAATTATTTTCTGTGCGGGGCTGTCCTGTGCACGGTAAGGGGTTTCTAAGCATCGCCCTATATGCCAGTAGCACCCCACTTCCTTCCAAATGGGGACAGCCACAAAGATCTCCAGACACTGGAAACTCTCCCTTGGGAGTAAGGAGGTTCGGTACAAAATTATACCTGGCTGAGAACACCTTTGTAGACACCTTTGTAGACATGAGTAAGACCTTGTCCCTGCCTTGAGAAGCAGATTTTCATGGGAGGGAACCCACCACATAAACACATAATTACAATGTGCCAGAATAATAATCACTGATTAAAAAATTATTCCATGTTGGGGACTTTAAATTTATTTTTGAATCCCAACATCATAATAAGCAAGAAAAATAATGCTACACGTGAAAAACTGACATTCAAAAATAAAGCCTGACACACACACATAGTGATATATAACAACTTAGGATGGGTAGGAGTGACTTCATTATCAATGAAGAGAAGCATACTTCACTCAGAAACAACAGGACCAGAGCCCATGGGTTTGGGGACATGATTATAACATGGGTGCAACAGGACGTGTGTGGCTTTTTGCCTCATTAATGACACGCAAGTATCTTTTCACTGTGTGAACAGTCAACACCTTACTGAACATCCCACCACAGCCACAACCAAGCCCAGGCAAAATGAAGTGTATTTGCTCCTAACTTTCTCACTCTTCATTAGAAACAAGAGATTATTATTTTGAATTACAAATTTTCCCTAAAACCTATCTTTCTCTCCACTGATCTGTAGCAATTATCACTTTAGCATATTATTCACATTTAATTAAATCTAAAGGCATAGTCATATCAACATCTTCAAAGCCCACTAGGACTCCATCTTGAAACTGCTTAATATGTGGTATGCATGAGTTAGCTATGGCCCATATTGGCAGATCCCAAGGTAATAACATCCAACTACAGGATGGTGCAAGGTATTGACATGCCAATGTCACACCACGCCCCTAGCTCACTGACATAATGGATGGTCAATCCATACTAAATGGTTTAGGTGGATGTATGCATGCATAGATCTTTTGGTGCAGGGATGGATGGATGGATGGATGGATGGACAGATGGACGGATGGACAGATGGATGCATGGAGTAGCACTGAAGAGAAAGTCATTTCATTTATGGAGAAGAATAAATTCTTTTTATCCAACCTTCAGTATCTAAGTACACACTTGGTGTACATAAATATGCTCCATAATGCTCCATAATTCTCTTCTCTACCCAAGCATATATCTGATTAAACGGGGAGAAGAACGATTCATTCTTTCCTTGTACTCTTAGTGTACAGGCCCTCAGCACATCAAGTTCTTCGTGCAGAAAGGAAGAGTTACTGTAAATTACTACAGTTACTCTATAATCTCTGCTACCTACAAGTTCAGCATGTTAAAGTATTAGTAATGAAAATTTAAGCATTTAGGCTGTGCAAACATTTTTGTGCACAGCATTATGAAATCACGTCCAAGTATGTAAGATTTGGTCTCAGTGAGTTTTCAAGAGGATGAGACCTCAAGCAATCTAAAGGTGCAAACTTTTATTTCAAAGGCTGGGAAGCTGAAGCCTGAGAGATCAAGCCCCTTCTTCAAAATCACCTAACTACTATAAAGCTGAAGTGGGTGTTATGCCACTTCAGTAATTTAATATGCCGATTCACAGCTAACTGCTTTGTCCACTAATTTTTGAGTATATTTATGAACATTTTGTCCATATTATAAATGGAGCATTTGAAAGCAGACAAGGAAAGACTTGCCCAAAATCAAAGAAGCAGGAGGATTAGAGTTGGTAATCCAATCTTATGGTTAAAATTGTTACTGCAACCCAAATGGTTTTTATGAATGCATCAAAGGTCAATGATGAAGACTGAAAAAAAAAAATAAAGCTCTTGTTAAAGATGAAAATTCCATTTTAGGGGTCTTTGATGCTAAAATAATTTAATAACAAAATAATATTCATATTCCATTTCTACTGAACAGAAGTAAACATGAAAAGATCAGATGATTATGACCTTATTTCAAGAAGTAAATATCAGAGTGTTCTGACTGGACTAGTAGGGTTTCAATTTAACAACAAAAACTTTCTGTTGCTAGGAGACAAGGACTGTGAACAGTGAGATCACTGATCCTGAATCACCAGTAAAAGGGCACAGTGATGGTTAGCATCCTCTAGGCATTATAAATTGTTGAAATGCCACTTTCCAAAATTAACAAATCACGATACTTGATATTTTAAGGATAAAGTTTTACTTCTCTTCAAATTTACATTACCCAGAATGCTTCATTAGTTTTGCCAGTGAACTGAAAAAAAGGATCAAATTCTCAAACTCACATGTATGTGCAGTATTCAAATAATTTATATCAAAGCACCATCAAGAGCAAAATGCTTAGATTAATAAATGTTCTTGAAAACATAAACATAGTTAAAACATGAACACAGTTAAAACATAAAACATAGTTAAGACATAGTTAAAACTTTCCATCAGTAGTATATTTCCTTCACTAGAACATGCATTCCAAAGTACTGACAATTTGTATATTGGGGGAAAGTACCACTATATAAGCAATATTTATAAAGTGGATTTGGCCTAAAATTAAATAACATATCTTTATGGTATTAAGTCATTGCTATTTAAAAATTAGGTAGATTTTGCTTATTACTTACAACCAGGATCACTGTTTCTGTGAAATTAGTCTAAAGCTGAACTGTAAAGATATAGGTATAATCATATAAAGATTTGGGTATAATGAAAATAGTCCTGTATGATGACTTTGAATTTGACCTTTCACAGTTACTGTGTCTTCCTCGAATATAAGGAGACTCAGAGAAATTAAGGGACTTCCTTAAAAGGATACAACTACATAGTAGCACAGCCAATCAGAATTAGGATTCGTGGGTCCAGCCCCAAAGGTAAGAGCCATTTTGATAAAGGAAAGATATCATTAGGTGTTTTAGTCTTGGGTTAGGCTCAGAAGGCTTGGGTTCCAGTCCTAGCAGTGCTACAGAACCAAATTTCTTTGCCTCTCTGGGACTCAGTTTTCTCCTCTAAAAAGGACCTACTGTGTGGTGGTGATAGTCATCATTTTTAGATATTGTGGGATATTGAGCCCTTGCTATGGGCCACTCTAGCCACTGTCTCCTGGGTGCTCAAGCTCTGGAGTCAGGCAGGCATGAGGTCAGATTGCAGCTCCATCACTCACTAGCTCTGTTCCCTTGAGAAAAATAACTTTTCTATGGCTCAGTTTCCTCACCTACAATGGAAGCAATAATAATTCCTAGTTTGCGGAGTCACTGTGCAGTTTAAGTGAGACAATGCATGCACATAGAATACTTGATGCTGTCCCTGATACATTGAAAATGGTGGATAAACGTAAGTAACTTGAACTGTTAATGCTTTTATTAGTAATACCAACTGAAATAAAATGGGTCATGAGACCAAACATCCCCTACAAGTTTGTCTGGCTCTGTCTGCCCCCATCAGCCCACTCTGGGAAATATCATCATGCTTGCAGAGCTCTTCCTGTAGTGATCAGTCCTGGATGTGGACAACTAAATGGCCGTTGATCTGTCACCAAAATGAAAGTTGTTATTTCTAAATTAGTCAGGGCCTCAACAATGGCTCACATACTCAAGAAAACAGACATGAAATTCTGAAAATTTGCTTTAATTTTTGTGAATTAATTTGTTTAAAGGATTTATCATTCAGTAGTATACTGCTGAAGATTGAAAAGACAAAGTCAGGGTGTGCTGGACAAAGTTGGGGTGTGTTGGACAAAGTTGGGGTGTGTTAGTACACTGGTTTTGACTCTTTAGAGGAACTACTAATTCTACTATAACCTCTTTTTGAAGGTCTGAGAGGTAAGACGGGGCCTCTGGGTCTGGCTGGTGAGAAAGGAGACCAAGGAGAGCCTGGAAAGAAAGGACCCATGGGACCAGAGGGACAGAAAGGAGAAGTAGGTCCAGCTGGGCTTCCTGGGCCAAAGGGAGATCGAGGTGATCAAGGGGACCCAGGGCTGCCTGGAGTGTGCAGATGTGGGAGCATCGTGCTCAAATCCGCCTTTTCTGTGGGCATCACAACCAGCTACCCAGAAGAAAGACTACCTATTATATTTAACAAGGTGCTCTTCAACGAGGGAGAGCACTACAACCCCATGACTGGCAAGTTCATTTGTGCCTTCCCAGGGATTTACTACTTCTCTTATGACATCACACTGGCCAACAAGCACCTGGCCATCGGGCTGGTGCACAATGGTCAATACAAGATAAAGACCTTCGACGCCAACACAGGGAACCACGACGTGGCTTCCGGCTCCACAGTCATCTACCTGCAGCCAGAGGACGAAGTCTGGCTGGAGATCTTCTTCACGGACCAAAATGGCCTCTTCTCAGACCCAGGGTGGGCAGACAGCTTGTTCTCTGGATTCCTCCTCTACGTGGACACAGATTATCTAGATTCCATATCAGAAGACGATGAGCTGTGATCCACAGCGCAGACCTGAATGCACCGAGCTCGCTGTGGCTGACACTTTGACTCAATCTGGAGTGCTGGGAGGTGAGACAACCAAGAAGGGGATCCAAAGAGGCCCCTAATCAGAACCCAGAGCCTTTACAGACCGTTCTGGCAAAATGGATTGAAACAAGACAAACCACCAGACCACTGAAGCCATACCAACATGAGCTATATACAATAACCCCAGCTATGAATTCTCCTGAAACTCATGTTTATAAATATTTAAACAAATTAAAGACATAACAAAATTTTATTAAATGCCTTTAGTGATAAAACTAGCTGGCAATGATACCACCTCATTAAATCTTCATAAAATTATATTTTGTCTGTTATTTAAGAGAACCATAACTTCCCAAAGTCTTTGACAATTCTCAAAATGCTATAATAAGTCAAAATACAAATTTAAGGGATGCTGAGACATTTCAAATAAATTAAAGTGAACTGATACATTTTTTTGTTTTACTATTCCTTCCTTCATGCTTGTGCATATTCACTCAACAGCTCCTTCATGAGCCTGTGTGTACCAGACACCATGGTGCTGATCAGATGAAACAAGAGGGTTAGACAAAAGTGTCACCTTCATGCAGACTGGCATGAGGGAAGCACGCTCACAAGACAAGCAAACTGACCCAGTGCTGGAGGCACACACAGGACCTCCCATGCCGGAGGCTGGGACCAGGGAAGACCTCTCAAGTGTGAACACACTGGACATCCAAGGTGTGTGTGTTTCAGTAAGTAGGATGAATGCAAAGGAAAGAAGGAACTCAGGAAATGCATTCCCCACCCTACCCCCAAGCTCAACAAGTGTTCAACTGGGAAAGGGTAAAATAAATAGAAATAACGGAAGCTGGAATGGGTAATGAATATGGAAAGAAACAGCCAGTAGGTCATTCTCACAAGTTCTTTAACCTTAAAGCTTTCCAGGACAAACATTTGCCCTATTTTTCTTGAAAACAATGGCACTGCTTTATAATGTGGTAAGATGATGCTGCTTCTGAGTGTTCTATACCTTGAATTCCAGTGAAGCAAGGCATGTTCCCACTGATCTGTGAGTAAGCTGGTGGCAGGAAGAAACAGGAGACCAAATGTCTGAGTAAACAGCTGTCTCTTTCAAGTCTTGCACTGCCTTTAGTCCACCCTCTCTTCTGTGCTGGCATCTTGTTGCCCACTGAACTGTAGTTCCTTGGTTAATCTTATCTACGAATCTGTTTTATTTACCACTCTTGATTTCTAGCAATTATTTTCCTTTCATTTTTTCCTTTTAATATCTTCCATTGCATCTTCTGTTGCTCTTCTCTTCACTCATTAATTTAACAAGTATTTTAATGTCCACTATGTGTGAATCACCATGCTGGAGTCTGTGAAAACAGAGGAACACCAAGATGAATGTGACACAGCTCCTGCCAACAAATTTCCAAGGACACAGGAAACGGCAAGCACAGATACACAAATACCATAACTCTGGAGAAGAACATGCTAAAATATGCGAAGTGCTAAACTAGAAATAGAAGCACAGCTCTATGAAAGAAGAGAAAGTGTTTATTTCCAAGTGTGTGGTGACTGAGGAGGGCCAGGGTACTGTCTACCCAGTGGGCCATAAGTCATGGTAGGATTTGAGTAAGGGCTGAGACAGAGGTAATAAGGCAGATTAAGCATAAAAATGAGAAGAGAGGCCCAGAAGATGAATCAATGAACCATATTCTGAGCATTTCAAGGGCCAGACTAAGGAGTGGGACCTTTATTTATGAGAAAGTGAGGAGCCGCTGTGTTCTAGATCTAGGTGCTTCCGTTATCAGAGGTGAGATGTGTCACCATCAAGTAGCTGTGTCTGAGAGCAATGCTTGTTCTTGTTTTCCAGACTGACCTTACCTTCCTCTGCCCCTCACACTCTTCCCACTTGGTTCTCCCCTGAGTCGTGACCCTAGGAGATAAAGAGCAACAAGGGTTAGATGGAGAAGGGAGAGCAAAGGTGACCTGAGACAGTTCCCTGCCTACAGAAAAGAACTGACACTAGAATACCAGGCAAGACATTAGAAAAAAGAGCCAATAAAACTAGGTAATTTGGGAAATAAAATTTTCCCCTGATCATGATCTATAAATGCACTCATTTTAAAGCATTATTTGCTTATCTTTTGAATGTTTCTTCATTACAGAGCCTATCTTGAGTAACTTTTTAAACTATAATCTCTTTCACTAGTCATATGCCCAGAAATAAATTTTATTCTGAAATGTCTAGTGGCACGTGGATGGGGATCAGAGAGCTGACATGGGAAAAGAAAAGCAGTTTTGGTATTAAAAGAGTAAAGGTTTAGCAAATCCCAGAGTCTTTAATTTTCCTTAAAAAAATAATAGATATAATTTTTCCACATTTATGAATATTTGTGTAAAGAAAGAAGAACAATTTCATTTTTTAAAAAAAAATGCAGATCTCATTGCAATCATTCTGTGTAAGAGCTAACTTGTGAGAAATATATGGCATTAACCACTATTCTGTTACTACATACTATTTTGTTCCAGAAGTGTTGAAAGCCTCTTATAAAGAATCAAAGACAAAATAGCAAACCAGTTTAAAAAACACAAAAATGAGGCTAATACAAAACCATGCACACACAATCACCTGTGTACCTATGTTATATGTTTACAGGACACATGGGTTTTAGGTGTTCTTTTATGCACAAGAGCACCTCAGGTCACTTACTATTGTGAATAATGTTGCTTATAGTTAAAAATAGATTCCAGAAACTATGAATATGTATTTTGTCTGGACCAGTCTGTGAAAACAATCATAGACATAAGTAGATTTTAGATAGCAGTTTTTTGTTTGTTTTTTTTGTTTGTTTGTTTTATATCTTCCCACCTCTGTCCTTCACTGGGTCCACGCTCAGTAAATGGCATCACTACCCATATTGGCACCAAAGCCAAGAGCCTAAGATGCAGTCACAATATCTTTTGCTTTTCCACTAAATTTTGCTTAGCATGAAATTCTCATGGTCTTAGCCCCTAAATGCACATTGCTGATTGATGGCAACTTTCCGTTATCAATGCTGTAGTTTCGTCCATATTGTCACCATTACTTTCTGGGATTGTAACTGACCCTTTGCCTCCAGCCACAACCCTCTAATCCATCCCCATGTTCAGGTGAGTGTGTCCTTCTAAAACACAAACGTAATCACATCACTCTACAGCTTCAAAATCAGCACCAGTCCTCTCAATTCCTAAATATAAAAGATGTCCCAAAGTGCTATGACTTTTCTATGAGGCAAGTATCCCACACTCTTTTTCTGGCATCCATACCCAACTTCCTCCTGAAGGACTCCTGTCTTGGTTACTTTACTCTTGTTGCTGAGACAAAACACCCAACACCCAAAATGAAGGAAGGAAAGGTTTATTTAGCTTACAGTTTGTGGAGGTTTCAGTCCATACTCGGCTGGCTCCCAGGCAGAAGATAGCAAAGCGACAAGAGCAAAGTGGGGAATGACAGCCGAACAGCAAACAGCCAGAGCAAAAGGGAGGAATTGCAGCAAGCAGCCTCCTTCCCTTCCTTACATTGCAAACAGGTTACCCCCACCTGAGGGGCGTGTAGCTCTGACATAATCTCCATGCCCTCCTCTTCCACAGGCTCAGGATGTATACAAAGTAAGCACCCTGGCTTCCTGCTGAGTCACTTAGCCAAACCTCTAGACTTTCCAAGTTGACACAATGTATCAACCATAGCAACCTCCTCCTTTACAAAGCTAAGCCAGTGAGATTCTCAGTGAAATTGATTCTTCCATATGTAAACCTCTGGCCTGATCAAACAGACTGTAACATTCCACTCACCAGCATAATTGGTGCAGATGACTCAGTCAGAACCAGTGAGACTTTGCTGGAACTTCTCTAGAAGAAAATATCACTGGACTTGAGCTCCTGAGCCTCCAGCTGCCACCTTACCAAAACAAAGCATAATACCATTTCAGAATGGGATCACTTACCAATGAAGCAGAAAGATGGAGATAAAGAGAAAAAAAGAGGTCTTGAAGTCATCATTTGAAACTTGATCTAGACCTATGTACATTCAGATCTTCCATGGACTTTTCAGTTAAGGTAGCCATGAAATACTGTTTTCACTTAAGCTCTCGGTACATTTGGTCACTTGCAAAAGATGTAGTCCTACCTAGTAACACTAGCACCCTTCACAATGAGATCTAGCTCTACCTTATTGTGACATCTCCAGAAGTCTACTGCACATAACATATAATCCAGGAAAATACAGATAACTGCAGTCTGGGATGTCTTTCCCTTGCGTGCCTCAGAATCTTTGCATGCGTTGTATCATTCATTCATAATGCAATTGCTGCTCTTATCTGTCTGGGTAGCTCTTCTTTCAAAGCTCAGCCCCAAAGTTATTTCCTTTCCTCTCACTTCCCCCCTTCCCTGTGCACAAGGTGACCCACAGATGGCTTCAGGAGTCTTCCTCACCACCTGCGAACTAGTGCAGTCACAGTGGCAGCAGCACACACTTTTCAAATACTTTTGCATTTATTATCTCACGTGGTCTTTGATGTGGTCTGCATGCGTCTGTTGAGTCCTAATCATCAACATGAGAGGATTAAGAGGGGATATTTGGGAGGTGATCAGGCCCAGCAGACTCTGCCTTTATGAATGTGACTAATGCCCTTGTAGGAGAGGCCCAAAGAGCTGCCTTGCCCTTTCCACCATGGTAAGACAGTGACAGAAGACTGACTTCCGTGAACGGGACGGTGGCCCTCACCAGACACTGAATCGGCCCCTTGACCTTGGACTTCCAAGATTCCAGAACCACAGGAAAGAAATCTCTATGGTTTATAATCTACCCAGTTTGTGGTTGTTTGGTTACAGCCCTTATCCTCCTCATTTTACAGATCGGGAAACTGATGAACAGAGAGGACAAGAAATGTGGGAGGTAAATCATAAGTGGTGTAGTAGACGCAGGCAGCCTGGCCAGCGAGTCCTTTCTCTTAGGCTCGTGCCAGGCCCATGCTTACTCCACTCTCATTTTAGACAGTGACGTGCTGACACTGCTCAGACGCGCTCCCCTGGCCTCTCTGATGGAGACCTTGTCCCTTCATCTTTATATCCTGGGACCCTCCTCAGTACCTGCTGCGGGATGTGCTCACTGAAAATGTGATGAATTACTCACAAGTTCTTTCCAGTCACAATTTTCACTAGTGGAGAGAGAATGAAGAGAAGGAGATAGATCACACCAAAAAGCCCTGAAATCATCCTTTGCATTAATCCAGATGCTTCTGATTACGGCTGCCAGAATCTAACTCAAAGTACCTCAAGAAAAGATAAAAAACTGGAAAATACAGTGTTGAATGAAATAAGTCAGATGCACACACTTGAGTATTGCATGGTATCTCCTATCTGAGTAAGGCAAACTAAGAGAAAAATAAAGGACCCATAGAGGAAGACAAGGGGCTGGGGCTCTCGCAGGTGGGAAGGGGTTGAGGGAGCAAGGTGAGGAGTGAGGGGAGGGAAACAGGCGGAGCGAAGGTGTGCCAGGTACGAGGTCCTAATGACCTCAGCGAATGTACGCCTTCTATGCCACCAACATGAGCTAAGTTTAATAATATCAACACGAACACAAAGACAGAAGGAGGGAAAAGGAGGATGGAGCAATAGGGAATGGGGTTTAAAAAGCAGTATTACTACTCATACCAACTCCTCAAGATGACTGTACAAATAAAATAAAATTTTAAAAGAAAAAGAGAACTGAAACAATGGACCATTCTTGAGCAGGATCTGGATCTTCAGCTCCTGACACTAAGATTTTATCTTTCCCCCACCTCACAGCTCAGCTTTCTTGGGATTAGCTTTGCTTTGGGCAGGATTTACCCTGTGGCAAAGATGGCGGCCAGTAGCTCCAGCCTTGCTGTGGGGAGAGGGGGACCAAAGCACCCGGTTTACACTTTACAGTCCCAGAGTTCCAGAAAAAGACCCACATATGGCACAGCTCATGGCTCTGATTGGTCCTGCTGAACTCATAAGCCTATCCCTCTACCTGGCTACAGAAATGTGCTGTTCCCATTGGCTAGGATGTACCACAGCTACCTGGAGCTAAGCCCAGTACCAGTGCCATCAGTCACGTGGTTTCAGGGTGGGGAAGACATCCTTCCTGAAGGAAAATAAAGGTGCCAAGTCTAGAAAAAGAGGCACTGGCTCATTGGCAATCAGAAACAGCAGGTGAGAGCCTGTAATCCCAGCACTCTGGAGGCCGAGGCAGGAGGACTGCTATGAGTCTGTAGACAGCCTGGGCTCCCCAGGGAGTTCTATGCCAGTCTGAAGTACAGTGCAGGGCCCTGTCTCAAAAACTAAAAGAGAAATTTTTAAAAATAATTAAAAAAAAAAAAACAGCAGGTAACCACTCTGGGCTGTTTCCACACAAAATCAAGACCACATTTGCTTTTGTCTGCATGATGCAAAATAAACATGTTGCTAGTCTTCTAAGCTAATCTAACGTTTGATAACATTTAGTCGGAATTGACTATTTCACAGTATAAGAGTCTGGCATCTGTAGTGATCTCATCCCACAGGCTGTCATGTTTCTGACCCCCAACTGACACTTTTTAAATGAAAAAAATATTTTATTCTCAACGGAACTACTTCTTCCCCTCAAACCTTCTGATTTTTTACATCAGTACCCTAGTAGACACAACAATTACTGTCCTTGATCGGTACAGGAAGAAGGTAGAAACTTTGAGGGCGGTCTGTCTGTGGAATTAAAAAGGGCCAGTAAAATCCAGTTTGCTCTGTATACAACATAATGACAACACAGAAAACAGTCACAAACCATGAGTTACAGGTCGCAAATTGCATTGCTGTCCTGTTTTCTTCGTTATTTTTTTTTTTTGAGAGATCACAACTCAGCGCAAAAAGACACCAGCAGCTACCATTTATTGTGTGTGCCCTTCGTAAATGGCGCCATCTTGGACCCTTATGGCAGATACCTTATTCTATTCTCAGAGACTATGTTAGTGGCACATTCTGAATGCTCGAGAGAAATCAGCACCACTCATATCTCTCTCCTGCATAAAAGCCAATGTGTTGGTATGGACATGGCAGAGAGCCCCAGTGCTGGGATATTTCTTAAGCATAATAACAGAAGAGATAAAGTCCCTTGAGGCCGCATATCAAGGTTTCTGACTTTTCTTTTGAGATGGTGCTACTCAGAGCCCTAGCAGGAAGCAGCATGGCACACTCCAAAGATTTCACCATGGAGGGCCAAACTGTATTCAGTTGGACTGCATTCAGAGGTGCAGCCAGGGTTAAATAACCAGATAGAGATGTTGACATAGCAAAGCACCGGCAACAGCTGGAACCTATTACTCTCAAAGTGTGAGGAGACAGAGAGGGGATGGGAGTTGCTGAGCACAGAAAAGCACTGAAGACTTGAAAGAGGGACCATTGTACAGGAGCTAGCCCTGAAGAAGAGCCACCACCAAAACCATACGGAAGTAAGAGGAAGCCGTGGGAATAAATTCCCTGATGACTTCCCTTCCACCCTCTGTCTCCTACTTGTGCCTCCCATTGGTCAAATCCAAGCACTCCAGGGGCCAGAGATGCAATTGACAGACATGGGCTTCTGGGACACAGAGAAGAAAAGAGAGGAAAATGGATGGGGATCCCAGAAAGCGGGTGGAGCTAAGAGGCAACTAACCAGCAGAAGGCTCCCCGCTTAGATCCCTGCCCCCTCTAAAGTCTCTAAAATTCCATGTAGATGGTACCATAAAACTGGCAGCCTAGCCAGAAAAACAAAAGAAGGGACATCTTCCAGCATTGCTTAAAGCTGGCTGTAATTTATATAGATGGAGCCCTCAAGTCTCAGAAATGGTCAAATCCAAGAAATGGTCAGCTCCACTTACAAGAAAATTGCATGGGAGTGTGGGGTCAAGGCTTTGAGAGCTGGCAGAGGGTTTCGCCAGAGTGTCTCCTTGTACATTCCTCTTCTAGACTCGCAACAGCCACAGCAGACGGTGGAACATTACAGGGTTCAGAATTCTAGCCAAATAGCTTTCCAGCTCAGCATGAGTTAAATGATCCACTTCGCCCTTTAGAGATGAGGATACTGTGGCTCAAAGCAACTGAGCGACTTGCCCGCTGTCAAAGCTCAGTGAGCACCGGCCCTAACTCCCACCCACTTGCCTCCAAAACCTCATAGCTGCACTCCCTTCCTCTCCAGGGCCCCACTCTAAGGCATGGTTTCACAGACAGGTCCCAGCCCTCTGGGGGAAACACCCTATTCTTATCCTCTTCCTTTGATCCCAGAAAATATCCATTTGTTTGACTTCAGCTGCCATGCAAAGCCAGTCACCATAAGGGCTGGCTCGCTCATGATCAAAACAGTCAGTGTGTCCAAACACTGGGCTCTCAAAACTCCAAGGAGTCAAAAATCTGTTCATTTCTCTTGCTCAGGACAAAGACTGAGCTAGACAGGTTGGCACACACCCATGATCCCAGCACTCAGGAGGCTGAGACAAGAACATCACTGCAAGTTCAAGCCAACCTGGGCTACACAGTGAATTCAAGACCAGCCTGGAATACATAGCAAGACCCTGTCTCAAACAAACAAAAAGTGTCAAAGCCGACCACCAAGGCCCAGTGCAAACCCTTTGGGTCAGGTCCAGTTGTGCCAAAGATAATCCAGGCAGAATCACAGCATCATTGTTGTATATGATGCTAATAAAAATACAGATAGTCTGAATTCCTCTCAGCGTTCCTCACTAAACAGTGGCCCTAAATGAAATGTACACACACCTTCTCCTCAGGACGAATCCTAACAGAAGCAAAGAACAAACAGGACCACACTTTCCACGGGCCTTGTGTGTCCACAGCATGGTTTTTAGAACAATTCCAAGGCATGCCACATATGCTGGATCACTGAAGAATCCTTGAAAAG